AGGTAGTTAATCGAACTATGACTCAACTACCTAGGACAGTAATCAATAAAAATCTGAAATCATGGGAAGAGTGTTTACCGTTTATAGAGTTTGCATATAATCGAGCTACACATTCTACTATTTCGTTTTCTCCTTTTGAAATTGTTTATGGTTTTAATCCACTAACACCTATGGATTTAATGCCTTTGCCTGTGCATGAACAAGGTAGCTTGGATGGAAAACGAAAAGCCGAGATGGTGAAAACACTCCATGAAAAGGTCAGGATGTAGATCGAAGAGAAAGGAAAGCTGATTGCATAAAAAACAAATAAAGGAAGAAGACGCGTTACATTTGAGCCTAGAGATTGGGTCTGGGTGCATTTCAGAAAAGAGCATTTTCCAGAATAGAGGAAGTCAAAATTGCAACCACGAGGCGATGGACCGTTTCAAATCATCGAGAGGATCAATGACAATGCATACAAAGTGGATTTACCTGGTGAGTATAATGTTTCAGCTACTTTTAATGTATCCGATCTCTCTCTGTTTGATGTAGGTTTAGATTTGAGGACGAATCCTTTTGAAGAGGGAGGGGATGATATGATCCAGGAGTCGAGCCCGACGAAGGCAACTGCGAGACGAGACCCATTGATAGTCGACGGTGGACCAATGAAGCGATCAAGGGCAAAGCAAGTGAAACAAGTGATGGGATTGCTCGTTTAAGAAACCATGGATGGAACCATGTTCGGGACTCAAAATGGAGCAACTTTCATGTTGGGGTCGAAGGCCGAATCGACTTGGATCAAATTGTTATCAAGCCACGAAAGCGGATGCAGAAAACAACACCATGCAGCCGCACAAGCAAAATTCCATGCGGTTGCACACATGGTTCCCGAAAATCAAAAGTGCAATTTCAGTTGAACCATGCGACTACATGGATTTACACCATGCTGCCGCATAGGCCAAAAAAAATTGGCGATTTTCTATTTTTGGCCGAATTTCCTAGTTTCGATAGAATTCTTATGGAATCAAATTATTACCATAATTTGATGGTTATGGACATTTTTATTCATTAGTATAAATAGGAGATTACTTTTGATTGTAACACCTTTGAACTTTTGACTTTTGAATTAATATTATAGAGAGAGAAAATTCTTCTTTCAATTTATTGTTCTTTTTGAACAATCTTGAAACTTATCAAGAATCAACTTCTTGTGGCGTTCTAATCAATCGGGTTGTGGGTTCTTTCAATTGTAATCAAGGGATTTTAGGTTCTTCGCTAATTTAGGGTTTCTTGGTTCAATTCTTGGGGTTCGAGATCCAAAACCGGGTTAGTATTGGCATTCTTGGGTTCCGTGGGTTTCGTAATTTCCATTACTACGGGGTTCGCATCACATCCTCTAGGAATCTCTATGTAACTCTTCTCTCTATCTCGAACTAATTGATAATCAACTAGAGGATTTTGGTTGATGGGGTTGTCTTCAAAAACTTCCTCATCGCCATCTAACTCTATATTCTGTTGATTTTGTATACTACTCTCTATCTCGCTTGGGGTAATGGAGTTGTGGACACTCACTCGTTCTACATTGACTTGGGACTCTTCCTTAACATTCTCTCACTGTTCTTCACTCTCCATGCAAAGTATCTTAGACTCATTAAAATTCACATCTCGACTTATGATTATTCTCACACTTTCTGGCTTCTATCCCTAACCTATATCCTTTCACATCCTCAAGTTAACGTAAGAAAATGCACTTCATAGCTCTAGGTTTTAGTTTTTCCTCACTTTGATAAGAAAAAACAGCACAACCAAATGTTCTAGGCGTATAATAATTCGTACATTTATCGTACCAAATCTCATACGGAGTATCACCATTCAAGGCAGTGAAAGGAGTTATATTAGTCAGAGATCATGCATTCATAATAGCTGCACCCCAAAAAGACTGAGGTATATCAAAACTTAACATCATACATCTAACTTTATCAAGTAAAGTACGATTCATCCTTTCAGTAATCCCGTTTTATTCAAGAGTGTAAGCTACAATTTTATGTCTAGTGATTCCAAATTCATTATACAAATTGTTAAATTCAGCATTGTAAAATTGGAGACCATTATCGGTACGCAAATATTCCACCTTTTTACGTGTCCAATTTTCTACCTTAACTTTTCAACTTTTAAATTCATGAAAGTTTTATATTTATCTTTCAGCAAATAAATCTACACACGTCTGAAGAAATCATCAATAATAAATGTTTACAGAGTGCAAAATGATTTTAAAATGGCATGCCAAACATCTGATCTTTACCCCACACACCCTTATTGTTAAGGAACTTAAATCCTTTAACACTACTGTGAGCTAACTTATCGTGCCACTTTTGTGTGTGCTTAGTGTTAGTGATAGTGAAATATAAACCACCCATTGCTTCAGCAAACATGATGTAAATGTTATTGTTCATAGTAGCCTTAAGGGCTATAGGGGCTAAACATTTTAACACTCCATCACTAAGTGCACCAGTGAAACCTATGCGTTGTAACTTTCCCACTAAAATTAGATTCCTACCCATATGTGGAATGTACCTAACTTCTTTTAATATGTCCCTCATCATCCCGAGACTGAGATCTACTAATCATTTGGTGAATCTCTCCCACTTTTCTCTCATTTCTTTTAACTTCCATCTCCATCTCCATCTCCTTACTCTTTAAAGAATCAATGAGTACATTGGATGTAAGGACTTTCCTCCCATATTTGATTGCATTTTTTTACCCGTCTACAAATATCAGGAATAGCATTAAATAGAATAATAGCTTTATATTCATCAAAAATCTTTTCACCATAATTCGTAATATTTTAAATCAATTTATTAAAAACGTAAAGATTGTCATCCAAATCTTTTGAGTGATTAATTTAAAACTAAAAAAACTTTCAAGTAAGAAAAGTTTGTTAAGCATGGATTGACTCAAACAAAGCTCTTCAAACTTTTTGCAAAGTTTTTTGGCAGAATCATATTTACCAACTTTTCGCAAAACAAAATCAGATAAGTTTAAGATAATAGAGATATAGGCAAATTCTTCAAACTCTTTTTTTTTATCCTCAGTTACAGTTGCAGAAAAAGTATTGCCAATGGCTTTTAAAACCTTTTGTTATACTAAAATCTCTTTCATCTTTTTTTTGCTAATAAAAAAATCACATTTACCATTAAAGACACCCAAGTTAAAATGGTGCACAAACATTTTAATAGATAAGACACGTAGCACATGAAACAACCTTCACAGAAACAATCACATAGAGGAAGTCAAAAGTATACATTGATCTAAATTTTTAGGATTTTTGTGAGATATGCAATCTCAATCTCAAGGAAATTATTCAGTAGATAAGGTCAAAGGTAATAATTCTAATCACAAAATAGCTCAGCCACAATACTTGATTACACAACAGTCAATTAAGCCGCAAAAACAATCACAATTTAAGCAAATATTTCTAAAATATTAGTATCAGACAAGGTCACAATCCTATTGGTCACCCCACGTGATGACCTCATATTATATAAATTGGAAGGATTTCAGCTAATTTATCAGAGCGGACCTATCTGTAGTCCATAACTATGAGAGAAATGAAATAAATCAAGGATTCAAATCCTTAGTGCAAAATTAGTAGATCCACGCTTCAACTGCACCACCTACACACATTCAAAATTTAATACAGATTAATTCCAGCACAAATATCGAAAAAATTAGCCACTACAGAGTCTAAAAGGAAGCTCTAACGTTAGTTTGTAAAGTTCAAATCACTTAATAAACAATTTACAAACACAAATTAGGTTAACTATTAGATAAACAATGGAATTACTCAATGTAAATTGAAAGTAATATAGGATACCCAAAATCAGCCAAAGTAATTTCACAGATTCAACGCTAAACGGGACCGAAACAGGATACCTAAAATCGGCCAAAATCAGAAGCATGAAGCAACGCACGAAAGGTCACAATCTGGTACCAAAGTCTCCATTGATGACCGACAAAGAATGAATGAAGAAGGCAACCACAAAGGCCAGAAATCACGAAGAGGAAGAGCCTAAAAGATGCTCAACCAATGTCCAAGAAAAGAGGAGACATTGTGTGTTATGTGAATACACACAAAGGAAACCCCGTTATATGATACTTGGACACGCCCTGTCCGTCCAGCATCTCTCTCATGCGTTGGACTCATTGAGTGGTTTTAGTCCTTCTTTGTAACTTATGCTACCATGTATGATTTTGGACTCAATAGTAATTAAGTGCATTCAATTATAATAATTGAATCTAGTATCCATCTTGATTATTCATCATTGCCTCCGAGGTTCATTTGGTATCAAAATGTCGAAGACCAACTTTAGTGATCTGTAGTGAATTATTTATTTAGTCTTATTTGGTGGAGATTAAAATCATACTTTATTTAGATTTAATAAAAATTGATAAAATATATAGTTGAAAAATCGTGAATTTATAAAATATGTAATCAAAATTAATTATTGACTTTAATTTAAATTAAAATTCAGTAAACTGGAGCTAATAATATTTCCCTTTTTTTAATTTAAAAAACGATTCCATTTCCATACCTATTGGTGAAGGGTGTGGATGGCAATCGGGTTCGTCGGCTCGGGCCGCTCGTGGCTCGACTCAGAAAAAGCTCGAGTCAGCTCGACTCGAGGCTCGAAGGCACCGAACCTCATTTTTGGGAGTTGGCTGGAGCTGAGCCGGCCCATATTCAAAAAAAAAAAAAAAAAAAAAAAAAAAAAAAAAGGAAAAAGAGAGGAAAAATCTGCTTATGTTCGGCTGCTAAAAATAGCTGCCAAATAGACAACAAATAGGTATATAAAAAAATAAAATAAAAATCCAAAAATCGAGCTTGAGCTGACTCGGCTCAGTAAGGTTCGAGCCGAAAGCTTGAGTCGAGCCTTAAAAGCTCGACTCAACTCGAGCAAAATAGTCCGCCTTAAAAATGCTTGAGTTGAGCCCGAATCGAAAATTTTGGCACTCGAGTCGTTCACATCCCAGTGAAGGGTCCAAAGCTTAGTACGCTGTTATTCACGGAATTCTCATAGAGATTTGTCCCTTTGTGTAACAAGATTTCATTTGGAGAGAAGCGATGGAGGAAGAGGAGCACGAGGTGTACGGCGGAGAAATCCCCGACGAAGCAGAAATGGAAGGCGATTTGGATCCTAACAGCGCCGACGTCGATATGTCAGCTGCCGACGATGACGCTATCAAGGCACCTCTCTCTCTCTCTCTCTCTCTCTCTCTCTCTCTCTCTCTTTTTCCCTTTTGTGTGGTTTAGCTGTGTATGTGGACATGTGGGTTGGATTTGATGAATTGGATCTGAGTGGATTCGGGGATTTTGTAGGAATTGGATGAGATGAAGAAGCGATTGAAGGAGATGGAAGAGGAGGCGGCCGCGCTGCGTGAAATGCAGGCGAAAGTTGAGAAGGAGATGGGTGCTGTTCAAGGTCTGTACTTTTCGGTTTTGCTTTCTGGTTATTGTTCTGTGATTCTCTATTTTTTGTTTTTAATTAATTCCAGCTATATCTACGTGGTATACATTTGTTGGATTTTATGTTCTTGAGGAAATTGATTTTGATTTTAGAAGGCAATGTGTTTTAATTGGAAGGAGTTTGGGGAAATTGTACAAGTCATCTTCTTCACTGTTTTAATTGCATAAGAAATGTAGAAATCACGCAATCGACTTTTTTTGTATTGGTATGCATTTGAAAGGAAAAAATACAAATATGAAAGGAAGATGGAAAAAATACAGCATCTTTATTTCCTACAAAAATTCAGAAGAAGCCAAGCATAGATTAAAAGATTCATATTTCGATTAATGTTTGGCAAATCATAGGAAATTTCTGAATGTGGGCAAGAATTTTGCCTTACATGCCTCTCTGAGTCCTGTGTGAAAATGAAAAGGGGGTGGCAGTGCTGCCCTTTTTATACAAGGTTAAAATTTAAAGTGCAAAAGAAGGCCTTTTAATCAAAATTTTTTGAAGGTGATCTCGATTTCATTTTGACCATAAAAAAAGAGCATTTTTTTCCTAATCGCCAATTAGTTTTCATGTTTGCTTAGATGAAATTTATAACATATAAGTAATATTACATTTTTTTCCTTAATCGTATTAATGTTATCTTTAAGATTTACGTTTTGATTAATTATAACAGATGAATACCAAGCAGTAGAAAATACTTGTTTGTAACTTCTACAATTATTTTACTAATATACCTTTTAGAGTTATTATTAGTTTTATGGTAAAGATTTTATATATAATACCTGAATGAATTTCTTATATATTAATAGTTTGAGTTAGGATTAGGGGAAATTTGAGTCATTTTCATTATTCAAGCTATCTAAATGATGTGATCCATGGAACGAATTAAACGAAGGCGAGTCCGGGCAAAGACCCGTTGATTGTCGAAGAAGGGCCAATGACTCGATCGCGAGTAAAGCGGGTCAAAGAAGCGATGAAATTACTTGTTCAAGTTACAATGGACGAAGCACCATCTTGACAAGTAAAGGAACAATTGTCATGTTGGGCTCGGGAGCCGAAGCACGATGGACCAACCTGATTCGAGCAAAGGATGAAGGAATCAAAATTTGCAACTATGCGACGCGTAGTTGAATCTAGCATGTGGTCACATGCAATGGAGTCGAAATTCAAGCGGCAGAAATCCTTTGTACTATGTGACCGCATAGAGAAGTACCATGAGGCCGCATAGTACATTCTGGGGTGCAAAAATTTCCAAAATTCGCGAAATCTTTTTTTTTTTTTAGTTAAAACTCTATTTTTATGGTAACTTTTGTATTCTTTGGACTTTAATTCTGTTTAGGTTGGGGATTTAGGGGTTTCTTATAAATAGGACTTATTATTCTACATTGTAATTAACTTTCATTCATATCAATTGAAAGATTAATTTTGTGAGCATATTTGCTTTCAATTTCTTGCTCTTCATCAAACAAATTTCAAACCTATCAAAAATTATTTTCTTGTGGCGTTCAAATAATTCGGGTGAGATTCATGAGTCTTGTGATCAAGGGGTCAACATATTATCGGCGATTATGTCGGTTGGTTGGTTTAATATTTCTAAATCAAACTCAAAACTTTGATTTATTGGCTTTCTTGGGTTGTGATTCAATCTTATGTGAGTTTCATAGCTACTATTGTTACGTGAGTTCACATCACTAAAGCTTGTCTTACGTTGAATTGACAGATAATTAATGTCAAAATAAATAACTGAATTCTCAGTAAGGAGTGGCTAATTAATTTTTTACCAAACATAAAAAAAGAAAAAAAAAATTGCAAAGTAAGTTTGTCCTACTTGAAGTTAATACTAGCATACCCTTGAAACTTGAAAGAGGCGATTTTGAGGTCTATTGAGAAGAAATGACTCAGAGTGAGGAGCAGAGGCTAACCTGGTAAAAACTAATATTTTGCTTTGCCGCCAGTAGATATCCAAATTGTTTACTGCCATCTTCCTGGAAATCGAGCTTGAGCTATGCGGATGGAAATTGCATGAACAAATTGCCAACCCTTGTTCAATCCCTTAGCTTTTGTTTGAGATTGAAATTTTCCAATCAATGTGTTTATATACCAGTCCTTTCCAGGGGATGACAAGGTGATGATTGCAATTTCATTGGTGAATACCTTAGAATAAATGAGCCAAGCAGAAACAGAATTTTAACAATAGTAATAATAGTGCTGTTCTGTTCTTTGAAATCTCCATGAACTGATTTCACTGGATCCTGCTTGTTGTGGATTCTTTTGAGGGGATTGATGCTGTCATTGATCCTATGAAAGAGAATATCCATTCAGATGAAGCTGCTCAAATGGCTTGAGATCCTTTCAGTCCATATGATTCCTGCACTAAAACTTGAGGGAATAGAATCATATTGCTGCTTTTGCCTCATTAATTTTATTTTTGCCTTCCTCTACCCTTCTTTTCTCATATTACTGATTCCCCTCCTCGCTCAGTTAAGAAACCTCCTCGAGTATCTTTGGTGCGAGCATCTTCTAGTTATAATATACTGCCTTCTGTACCTTTAAAATTAAAAAAATAAAATAAAATAAAATAAAAAATTGAGATTGACCACCTAAGGGTTTATTATTATTATTATTTTATTTATTTATTTATTTTTTGTATGCATAAATCTAGTTTAATATGCTGATTCCACAATTATGTAATTTCTGTGTCGCAGATCCTGCTAGTGCTGCTGCTCAGGCAAGCAGGGAGGAGGTTGATTCACGGTCTATTTTTGTTGGCAATGTGAGTACCAAATTACATAATCTATACTATATTTCTAAAATATGCTTTTGAGAATCTACTTGAGTGTCGATGTCTCTATCACATTAACTTGTCTCTAAATTTGATATCGTCTTTTGATGCTGTATCTTTGATAATGTCTGCTTTTATTGTATTAATCTGCAATTCTGTTTCCTGCCATTCTGATAATTCATATATGCAGATGAAAACTATGCATGAGTTCTTGAATTGCGTCACATTGCACAGTGGCTAATTGTTATTATGTGCTTCACGTTATATTATTTCACTTGCTTCTCTGTGCTTATAACATATGACCAGCGTAGTTGCCAAGAATCCACCTGAATGTGTAGTGTATATATTGAAGAATTTTAACCATGCTGTACATTTGTACATTGCAAAGAACTGGACTTTGGTTCAAGAGATGTTTATATTTTGCACAGCTAAGCAAGCAGGAATTGTGGTGCTCTCCCACTTTCACTTTTTGCAAAAAGAAATTCTTTCATTCGTTACAAGATTATAAATAGTACCTATAGAGCTATTCTAACTTTGGTGCTTTAGCTTACAATACTTCCGTGCTAAGATGAAATGCTACGATGTGTATCTTAAGACGAAGTCATATGGAATTTAGCATTGGTTCTTCACAGCCTTTAGAGATGCCACAATTGCTAGAATAGAAATTTGGTAATGGCGGTTGAGAAATCCAGAGAGGGGGAGAGGCGCACAAATCCCTTTGGATAGTGGTGGAAAGAGTTCCAGGAACGATCTCTTAGTGGTTTCTATGCAATTTTCTAAATCTCTGGATAAGATATTTATAATTAGGTTTGTGACAGAAAGTTGAAAAGCCTTTTAACAATTAGAGTATGAGCTCCTTGGATAAGACACATAAACCTGAAATACTAATTCTAGAGTTAAAAGAACTGAGTTTTGGGTGCAAAATGATAAGAAAGCACCTTTAGTTATTCATTTTCCCTTCATTCTTTCATTCTGGATTGTTAAAGGACAAATTGTCCATAAAACAGACGTAGTGAAAATGATGATCTTAAGATGGCATATGGTCGTACTAGGTTAAATAAGATAAGAATTATGCCAGCAATTGGCAGTTGTACCATTTGATTATGCTCTAAGTGAAAAAGTGGCTTTGGTGGCTTCATTTTCATTGCAATTTCAATGTGGCGTAGGCATTGGAACTTAGCAGTCCATTTAGCCTGCACTACAAATTGAAGGCTTGGGTTGACTCTTGTACCCTGTTTTATTCACTCTAGACATGCAGGCTAAAGATTTTCCTGGCTGCCTGGTTAGCCCCATATTTATGAAGTATGGTTTATGCTGTATTTATAAAATTACTTGTCTTTATATGAAAGAATTGAGAATCTGTACTAGGAGACTAGACTGTTGACCTTTATGTTACTTTGTGGGTAAAAAAATGAACATTGCATTGGTCTATAGACAATTATATCACCAATTCAATTAGATATATGTGATTAAAAATAGGAGACTTATAAAGAAACAATGGTTTGGTCCAGGCGAACCTTGGCATAATGATGCTCTGGCCTAGGTCTTAGTTGCACATATTTGGACCAGCATTACTTGAGCCTGCACGATCTGTGTAGAGCAAGCCAACCTATGTCTAGATCATGGATAATTAGACATGCTACTTTTCACTCCCTCTTTTCCCAATACTTGGTAAAACATTATTCTTATTTTGCATTTTCAGTTCTTGTTTTTCTTTTGTTTGTGGAAAGAGAAAAAACAAAAAATGCCACAAAGGTCTTCTTTTTCCCTTTTTTTTTTTAAATATTTCCTGAAACAAAAATTAAAAAGCAAAAGTTAGTCATGTGCATTTAAGTGAAATCTTTATCAATCATAACTTGTTCTAACATTATAAATAAGATTCTCTTAATGTAGTACAAATAATTTATTAATAGGTAATCTCCCTTTACCTCACTGGAGGATGGTGGGTTTGTTTGAAACACATCCGGTCAATATGGGGGTTGAACCTTGGCTGCCTATGTTGTATTGGCCTTGAGTGTGATTTAAAGCTTGACTAAATTCATTAAAGCGGTAATCTCCCTTTACCTCAGTGGAGGATAGTGGGTCTGTTTGAAACACATCCAGTCAGTTCGGGGTTGGCTGCCTATGTTGTATTAATCTTGCATATGATTTATGCTTGACCTTTTTTGCCTGGCACTTTTGATGCATTCTACATTCTCGTACAACTGTACCAGGAAAATGTCTACTGTTTCTATTGGCATTTATTCTTTTCCATTTCTTTGACTGCTGTAAAAATTCATTGTTATCTCGACATCTATTTTCCTCACGGATTTTGACGCTTCTCAGGAGTCATGGGTTTTGACACTTCTAGCTCTGATTCAGGGACTGTTGTATATTTGAGAAGCACTGGAATTAACCCTGTATTTGATGGTGAAAGGAGTTCTTGTGCCTATGAGTATGCTAGCTTTCAGTAGACTCTTTGTACAATGTTTGTGATGAGAATTCAATCAAAAGGAAGAGAAGAAGGAAAAGATTAAAGAGCATAAAAATATGAAAAAAGAAGTTGTAGTCCCCATGTAAAAAATTGAACAGAAAAAATATATCAAACAGAAAAATGGGGAAAGTGGAATAAACAGGGAAAAAAATAAAAAAGTGAAAGGAAAAGATGGAGAAAGAAAAAACAAGAGATAAAAGTAAATCTGTGTTCTATGAGATAGCACTTTTTTCTGTACTCTTACACACAAAGCATTTCATGTAGAGCTGAAATATGTAGTCATTGATAAACTTAAAAATCATCCATTATTGTGATATTCTGGAAGAAGATGATCTTTGTGCATTTGAAGAGTGATGGCTGGTTCTTCCCATGCCCAGCTCTGTGGCCAAGTTTCATTGTTGATGGCAAATGGTGGACGTGGGTGCTTGGATTTGATTGATTTATAGAGCCTGATGTGGTGAGGTGTTATTACTCCAATGTTGTCCTATGCAATTCTTTCCCTGTTTTTCCTCGGTTTGATGTTAAATAATCAGTTTTTTTACTTTCCATATTCTTAAAAATTACATCAGTTTTCATTATAATTTGGCGTGGAGATGATTTTATGTTGTTATATTTTTTCAAAAAGAAGTCTTTTTTTGTTCTTTGGATGTAATACCTGGTATTTCATCTACTTGGGAGACAGACGGTGACGTGAAAATTCTCAGTGCTTCGCAAGAAGGTTGGGGAAATGAGCTTATCAGTGTCTTGCCCACCCTTTGCTATGTGATATTGCCCTTCATAACATCACTTTTCTACTGGTGAAAAAGTTTACCCTGGACACTAAAACATGTATTGATTTTGTATCACATTTTTTAATCATGAAATGAAAAATGATTTTGATCTGGAGAAAGTGGATGGCAAACTGTGAGTTGTAGAAGTTTTTCCTTTTTGTATTTATCCGACACTGTTAGGATTAGTTTTCTGAAATAATTAAAGAACAGGTCTGATATATTTTCGGAAATAGCTAACTGAAGATGACTCGCCAGCGTGGAGTATGTATCTGAGGATCATACAGTATGAGGGAGATGGAAACCTAGTGTAGAAGAGGGAAGCTTTGCTGGATGACAACTCACTAGAACATGAATTTTCTTCTTGTCATCAACTGACAAATATTGAGTAAATGTTATTCCCCAAAGAGGATTCTTTGGCAATCCTTGTGAAGTATTAAACAAAGAAATAGCATCCTTTTAACATTTACATATAAAATGTGACAGACAGTTGATGTGGATTGGAATAAGAGTTTTTCGTTAACTTGTAAAGAGAGAGAACCAATTATGCTGGCTGATAAGTACTTCAATAGCATTAATTTCTTATACAATCAACTTGTTCTATAGTTTTATAACTTGCTATCCAAGTCTAGGAAATATGACGTGCATGAATGTAGAAGTGCTTCAGAGATTTTATCTGTGGATTCTAGTTGGTTTCTTTTGTTTTAATATGATCTGAAGCGCTAAATCTTCTTCTTTTAGCTGTTTGTTTACATTCTTTTTGGAGAAATTTTGTTCGAGGATTCATTTAAGATGTTGATGTAAACCATCAGATCATTTTGCTTTATAGTTCGTCTACTAATGACGAATTTAGTAACTGAACTTGTGTCAGAATGTCTACCCACGGGCGGACCCACATGGGGTCATGTGGGGTCAAATGACCCCACAGTTTTCTGATTTTTTTTTTTTTTTTTTTTTTTTTTTTTTTTGAAAAAAAAAAAAAAAGATTTTGTTTATTTTGTTATTTTGTTTAGTTTAGTTTTTTTTCTTTCTTTTTGCTTCCTTGATTATTTATGCCCATAACTCGATTCTCTAACCAAGTTGATTTGCAGTACGATTCAGAAATAGAAAGAACTTTGTGCAGGTTGAGGATTGGCATGGCTAGGAATCAAGAGCTTTCAGCTCCGGATTTGAATCAACAACCCTTATGCATAACTTTCACTAATTTAGATGCTAATACTACCCAAAAAAAAAAAAAATTTGACCCCACAGTTCAAATGGTCTGGGTCCGCCCCTGTGTCTACATTTTTATGTCTTTAAAGGATTCGATAGTACATCTTTAAATTCCCAGAATTGTTAATGATTCAATATTTTGGTTTTAATTTTATGATATTTAAGTTTTAAAAACTGCATTGTGATCATACTAGTTCTTCCTATGCTCTTGCTTTACAACACATGCACATCATACATATATGCTACAGGAGTAAATATAGTTTGAATCAATACAGGAGATAAATGAATAAAGAGAGATTATGGAATGATGATTTTTCAGCACAATGCTATTCATTGAATCTCATCTTTCAGGTTGATTATGCATGTACTCCTGAGGAAGTTCAGCAGCATTTCCAGTCATGTGGAACTGTGAACCGGGTAACTATTTTGACTGATAAGTTTGGGCAGCCTAAAGGTTTTGCATATGTGGAATTTCTCGAGCAAGAAGCTATTCAAGAGGCCCTCAAGCTGAACGAATCTGAACTGCATGGACGTCAATTGAAGGTTAGATATGTTGTTCATTCTAACAACCCGAAAAAAATATGTTCATATATATACAATAATGAAATTTGGAAACTTGACAATTTGTTATTATTTATGCTCTTGTTAAAAATACATTTCGAGAAAAATGTATGTTTGAATCTTAATATTTTGGAGAATATGTAGTTAAAAAATAAGGAAAAATTTTGGATTTACGTGTAATATTATTTTATTGAAAAATGTGGTTGAAAATAAGAAAGTGAAAAATGTATTTTTGGAGAAAGGAGTCCAAACAGGGGCTATATATTTGCAAGTGAGCCCCTTTGACAATGCTTTTGTTTTTGTTTTCGTTTTTGCTTCAACTTCTAGAAGAGATTCTCGAGGAAGTCACATTGGTCAACTTCATCTAAAAGCTCTTCTTGCCGGATAAAGCACTACTATAAAATCATTTAGCCATCGTTTGGCCCCAATTATTTGAATTTATAATGGGGGAAATAGTGTTTTTTTGAAAAATGAATGATTATAAAAGAATGAAAAGATTTCGATTTGAGTGCAATATTAATTTATTGAAGATTGTGTGGTTGAAAATAGGAGACAGAAAAATTTAAATTAAATCGATGAGTTTTAAAAGGTGCCAAACGGGGGCTTAAGCATGTCTAAAGGTAGCTTCTTAGTCTTAAAAACAGCTTTTTATTTTTCAAAATACTTAAGTCTTGATATTTCTTGATGATATTTCTGTAATTGAGTGATGTTTGGTTACTTTTCATCTCGTTAACCTTATAATTTAACACTAACAGGTGACAGAAAAAAGAACCAATGTTCCAGGAATGAAACAGTATCGTCCAAGGCGCTTCAATCCTTATTTAACGTATAGATACAGGAGGCCTTATGTACCGCCTTATTTCTATTCTCCTTATGGTTATGGGTGAGTTACTTTCTGCCTGTGTATTTCTACCTTCTAACTGTAATTCTGATCAAATCAAGTGATCAACATTTCAAAATGCTCGCCTCCAGGAAGGTTCCAAGGTTTAGGCGACCAATGCGCTACATGCCTTATCAATGAAAACAAGAATTCAGTTTCCCGATTTGCATTCAGATGCATCCTCCTCCAATAAAGTACGTGATTTCTCTATCTACATGGTCGATGAACATGATCACAAATTGCTAGCAAGAAAAGTAGCTGCTGAGACCTTGTAATTTATAAGCTATTTCTAGTGTAAGTTTCTATTTGCGATGACTGGGGGATAATATTTTCTTCTATCAGAATTACATTTTTTTTAAGTATCTGAATTTCTGTTGTTTTAATAACTAAACTAGCTTGTTTTGTATTCGGTATCGACAATACAATAAACACGATTTAAATCTACTTTTCTTGTCTAATGTTGTTACAGTTTACCAACCCAACAGCCATAAAATGTTTTGGTATTATGCGTATATGCTAATTTATTTTTACAAAAAATGTTCTATCAAGCTGCTTCTACTCAAAGGTAGTGCCAAAGTTCGGTTACTATCCACCATGCAAAGAAGTCATTCCACATTGATCAGAGCCCGTGCCCTAGTTATCATAAATAAGTTGATCATTGTGGTTACGACTGCATTAACATTTGAGTATGGCTAAGTTGTGGCCTCAATAACCACAAGTTAGAGAAAATTTTATTTGTCCTTCTATCTCCAACTCTCCATCTTAATCCTCAACTATAGAATTTTTGGCCCCATTGAATGATTTTTCAAATGGGCTTTGCCATTTGTACACTCTTGTTGACACTCGCATTGTTGTCAAAAAATAATTGGACAAAAAATAATTTTCTTTTTAAACTGTCAAATGAGAGTTTGTTATGTGACAAAATGTAAATAAAGGTGTACATTAGACATGACTTTTTTCAAATAATCGTATCACCGCCTTTCTTTGAGCTTCCATGATTTCGTCCCTGTAATAGTATTTTCCTTATAACACACCCTTCATACGAAAAGATTCATCGTTAATGCATAAAGATTAAAGACGATGTTAAAATAGAAGGTCGATAGGAAGAAATCAATCGCTTAAAACATTGTTGATCAACGTGAAAGCTTCACTATTACTATTCTGATATGACACTAATCAGATTAACAAAGTAACCAATTATTTAACATTATTTAGCCCCTATTTGATATTCATCATTTTGGAAAAATAATGTTTTGAATAGCGACTTTTTCTAGAATGTGAGGTTAAAAAATAAAGAAAAATTTTGAATTTACGTATAGAATATTTTATGGTGTGAAAGTGTAGCTAAAAATAAGTATATAAAAAGAATGTTTTGAAAGAAGATAAACATGGCTTAACTTCAAAGATTGAAGTTAACAATCTCATTGTGTCAAAATTTTGTTACAATCTATTCTCGGCGCCAACCGTTGGACTCATCGAAACCTTC